AAAAAAAAAAAAAAAAAAAAAAAAAAAAAAAAGAGTGTGCAGCCCATCTGTGGAAGTGGCCAACCGCCCGATGTTGTCACACCCACAAGACAATTGGCCAAACGGACAGATCAGGCGGAAATAATTCACAACGCCGAAATAGAAGATATTTCTGTGATGAAGGTACAAAGGAGTAGAGGAAGGAAAAGGCCCCACTCGGAGGCGTCCCACCAATGTACACACAGCAGGGTTCACTGTACAGGGGACCAGGCGGGGGATGCAGCCCCGTCGCTACAGGGCACCGATGGAGGGCAGAGTGGTGCGAAAGATGATAAGGCCAAAGATGGGGGAAGCGGTACTGGAGACGGCTCACCGTGTGGTGGTGGCTCCCCCCGTGAAGAACGAGAACAGGGAGGGAATGAGAATCAGGACAAGGGCCATGGTGGAGGTAGGAGCGGTGATGGGGGAGGAAGTGGCAACGGGGAAAAGGACCAAAGGGGAGGCGGACGCCAAAATGATGAAAGCGATCAAAGCGAACAGAGTGACCAGAGTAGCCACAGCAGCCAGAGTGATAGCAGCGGAAGAAGTCTGGCCGGACGTCCCGCGAGCGATTCTCAACCCAGCAGTAGCTTCAAGTCTAATCGAGCCATGTACACGAGCGCGAAGGTGCATGTGCAAATGCCAAAGCGCACACGACGTAGGAAGAAAATTGTTGTCAGCTCATCCACGTCAAACGATAACGAGTCCTCCATTTATAACATTTTTGAAGAAGACTTTACTTTCTTGTATCCAAACCATTCGAACCCGTTTAGTTATTGCAGCAGTGATAACCGAGATCGGACGGGGCACACGGGGGGGAAGTTATACAACTCTTATGAGTTTAATAAAGACCCCAATTCGAATAACAGAACGGACCACTTCTACAATGTGACAGGAGATGTAGTGTACACTCAAAGGAAACACAAAAATGAAATGGGAATTTTTCAGGAAGGTTTGTTGGTACCATCAGATGGAGGTGCCTTGGAGGGCTTATCGGACCCAAACGGAGGGAAGGCCAAGAAGAAAAAGAAGAAAAAGAAAAAAAAAAAAAAAAAAAAAAAAAAAAAAATCATTATAAACATGATGAACAACACGATGAGCGCGATTAACGCCATGGGTGAGGAAGACCATACAGGGCAAGTCACTTCAGGAAAGACACAAAAAAAGACCCACAGGAATACACACCCCGGTAGCCTCGGAGGGTACTCAGACCACTACGCAGCCAGCAGCTCCAAAAATTCATGTGCATACAGCGAGCAGGTCGACATATGCGATAAAACAAACACCAACATATTCCTTTACAAAAAGGAAAATATATTACGCTTGAAGAAAACACACGATGGAAATAAAAAAAAAAAAAATTACAACGACATTATATATCACATTGATACGATTGTAAATGTTAATAAAAAGGTAAAGGTCGTGATTATCGGAGCAGGTTTGTCTGGACTAACAGCTGCATATGTATTACTGAATCATAACGTGGATGTAACTGTGTACGAAGCAAGAAACAGAATCGGTGGTAAGTTTTTTTACTCACCGAATGGAAAAAAAAA